AATATTTTCTTTTCCCAAAAAACATCCAGTGCAGGACCAGTAGCATATAATTCGAATAAACTGCTGTAAAAACGTTTCTTGAGAACTTGGCAATTAAAATAAAAAAAGATATGCCTACACCAAATCCCCCCCCCCACCCACCCCTGCTAAGGGGAAAAGTGATTTGGTCCCTTATTCCTTTTGTGTTGTATTGTTACAAAAGCTCTTGCATCAATAAAAATTATACTTACAAAGACTTGTTCCAATGAAGAGGAAATCTCCATAGCATGAAGCTTGAAGTTAATCAGTCATATCCTTTAGGGTGGTTTTTAAGCCAAGTTGATGTGAACCAGATGTTATATTTACCTCTTTTATACTACATGGATGTAATGTTGAGATTAGCAAACAGACAGAGAATCAGTGAAGTAATGTACAAATTTTGTACGTTTTATTAATATAAAATACTTTAATATTTTTCAGCTTGAGTACTTTTATTCCTTTTCAATCGTAACAATTTTGGAAACAGAATGGTATCTGAGCTTCCAGGTATCCCTCCGTCACATCTAAAGGAGGATTTATTTCAGGCACTGATAAATGAAAACTAAAATTCAGACATTTTGGAAGTTATGTCCCTAAATTCATGAAGGGTCAGCACCAAACCAACAAACTGAACCAAAACGTCTGACTTTTTGGGTTACATTTATCAGAGCCCAAACTAAAATCTCCCTTGCATGATACAACTATCAAAAGTGTTTCACAGCAGTTTCGAAACTACAATCATATTCCTTCGTGAGCCTGGTTTCCTGTACCTTAAGTCCATTCCAAAAATATAATTTCAACCCTTAAAGAACGCAATGAAGCAGTTGAAACAATAGACACCTGCGACCTGTATTTAACTCAACAACTACTGTACAACTCAGACTCTTCCCTAAGAAAATGGGTAGTATGTGTTGCGTGTTGCTATCATCATGAGAGTACAAAGGTTCACATGCGGGTGCACCAGTGGATGCATCACATCCCATCATCTGTGAATATGATGCAGTACTATCATACTGTTGCATTGCTACAGGTGGGTTGGGGCTGAAACCTCTGGCGTGCATCAACATTTGTATTAGCTTCATTTCATGTTCTTGTTCTTCCCTTCTTCTTTCTGACTCTATCCTCTTTAACTCTAGTCTATACTGCAGCTCCCTTTCATGTCTTTTTTCTTTTACCTCTTCTAATCTAAAAATGTATAAGATCAACCCTTTTAGTTCTCCTATATGGAATGTGACACCGGCTAATATTATTATGATGGCAAAGAAAGTTGTCACAATTAAATTTCACCAGAGAAAGGTCTGAGTTCCTGAGCAGAAAATCTTTTCTATGGAAACTGACTTTTAACAAATGGGGGTTCTTGTCTTGTATTACTGGATTCAGTTTAGAGAATTCTTCACAATTATTTGAAGACTAGTATGCTAACACAGCTTCCTGGGAAATAAAAGTCTTTTGGATGATCCTAATCAACAAAGTAAGTTGACTTTCACCATCTCCCTTTGTGAAGACATCAGTTTTAACTTATCCTAAAGGGCAAGCCTATAATCCTCTGTCTTCCACCCCAGTGGTAAGGGACAATCTTAGTCTTATTGAATTATTGATAATGATGTGATAACTATCACAATACCTCAAGACTTCAATTAGGTTATACTGAGCTGAAACTACCTTTTAACATCAGCTTGTGACACTTCCATGAAGTTTGCACATATGGCATCTAGAGACTTTTCAAGTTTTGTCTTTTTCTTTGATTTGTCTGTTTTGGATCCTGTTATTTTCTTGCCTCTCTTTCTGTTGTTGTCAACAGTACTGTCACATGTTGATCCTCCCTCAGACTCTGACAGACTTTCCTTGCTTTCAACAGTGCTACCTGACATTGATCCTCCTTCAGACTCTGTCACACCTTCCTTGCTTTCATCCATTGTAAATATGTCTAGAGTATAGATCGGAGGGGAACATATCACAGATAATCCAATGGCATGTACTCAAACCCAATACAACAATTTTTGTAAGGATCTGCCAGCCCCACATTTACAGCTTTCGCAAGGAAAAAAAAATTACAAATGCTTGGGAAAGGATGGGCACGTTTGGAATTAATTTAACCATAATTATCACGTGGCATAGGGACTTGCATAACCAAACCAAACTGGGAGATTAAGGTGAGAATTTCTCACCTTAATCTCCTAGTCTGGTTTTTTCCATGCATGGCAGGGACCTACATTAAGCTAAGGACAGCTTAAAAAACTGGAGGATTAGATAAGAGATGGGAAAGAGGGTTGAGAAATGCCACTTTTCCCACTACTAGAACTATTCATTTCAGCCTCCTTGATTTCAAGGTGCTTTTCTAGCAAGGCAATGGAAATTTCTCGCCACTTCCTTCGAAGCTTGTAGTTTCTTCGACTGACAGATCAGATTCACCGCTTTTCTTGCAGTTGTCAATAACATATGGAGGCTGGATTGACGGGTTCTCCTTATAGATTGCGTCCATCTTTTCAAAAAATTTCCATCCCTTTTTTGGGCGAGAGGTCCAACTTTTTTTCAGCTTGCCCTTTTCAGTCTTGTACTTCACTCTCAACTTCTTTAGTTTATTTATTATGGCCCCAACCTCTTTGAAGATACCTGGGGAAAGAGAATGTCTCTCTGCATATAAAAAACTGTATTGGAGTAGTCATAACATTGTTTCATCTTTTGACCATAGCATAATAAATTGCGAAAATCTTTGCGAGCCACAACGTAAAACCACGTAAATGTAAGGTTTTAAGAGAGTCATATCTCACCCTTTACTTCAAGCTGGACTTCAACATCGCGGTGAACTGCGTTTTTGTCCTTCGGTGACTTTGCCGTATCTAATGAATGCTGTACAGTTTCTTCAGCAAAGATATCAAGCAAAGTCTCCGTTTCCTCATCAGTCCAAGTACTACTCCCTGCGTTGGTTGACGCGTTAGTTGCTTTCGCTCTGTTCTTCTCCTCCATTTTTAGGTACGCTAAACAACTGACGTGAAGCTCCATGGGCTCAGAAAAAACAACAGCGCCAATGTTGAGGAGACAGGAACGTCACAACGAAGGAACTCTAACAGCTTTAATGTCAACGGAATCGCTCGTACAACAAGATGGATGCGATAATCACACACACGAGGGAAAACCGGCGCGCGCATATAATATAACACAATGCCGCAGGCACTGCCCGTTGGCGCAACCTCTTCTTCCGCGTAAATGAATGCAAACTACCTAAAAGGTTAGAACCGAGACGAAAGATATAGTGTCATAATGGAAAACAAAACCTGATAACAAACAGACTAAGGCCTAACAGTCACTGCAAGTTAAAACTTATCGCTGCGGGATAAAACGTAACGACGCAAAGGCTAAAATCTAACATAGTCATTTAAGTATGAAGGTGGTTTGCGCTGTCTTTGAGGTCTTGGACCAGGAGTCTCAGGAGAAGAACTGGGACAGGACGGCAGGGCCTGATCTGGGGCTGTCGCACTGGTGCTGGGCTCCCCTGTAGAACAGGTAGTGAGGGAACGTCAATAGGGGCTTCAACGGTAGTGTCATCACACGTGGACGAAGGGAATTGCTCCTCGTCAGACGGTACCGAGGTAAGCTCTCAGGCGGCGCGGGAGGAGGTGACTCTGGTAATACTGAGGCAGCAGGCACACAGGGGGTTACGGAGAAGGCTCATCATCCTGGTCTTGAGAAGCCGGAGGACCAGAATGATCGGCCACTATAACGGAGGGAGAAGTAGCGTAACACTCGGACAACTTGACTTTGTAGGAGGTGGCCCTCAGTTGTGAACCACTGAACTTTAACGAAGCACCAAGGGAAGTCGATGGAAACCACAATATAGCGATCTTCGCCAGGCGAGACTTGTCCTTATCGGAAATGAGGTATACAATCTCGCCAACCTGTAGTGAAGGCGTGTTAGGAACAAGACCGCGGGGGTTCTTAGACTTCTCACTGGAGGCATGGTTAGTAGAACGTTGCTCGTGTTTACCAAGTATGAGGTCGTAATCGGACAACGGCAACTGTTCGTGGGTGAACTGATTGCGTTGAGTCCACAACTCGCGAGATGATAGGCCAGGAAGGCGAAGACGGGAGTTAAGACGGGCAGTGGCGAGAGCAAGACCAACTGCACTTACTGGTCTGCCACCGGGCTCTTGTCTGATGAGCTCTTCCTCAAGTTCACGGACAGCCTTCTCAGCGACTGGGTTCTTGTTTTTGTTCTTAACGCGACCGACATCGATTGTTACGTTCAGGTGGTTGAGAGAGTCATTGTTGGCCATGGACTGAAAGCCAGGGGAGGGATCTACACGTATAATTGCTCTTGGGCCGTCAAGTGGGTGGAGGCCGACAATTAGCTTTGTGAGGGCGTCATGGAGGGTATCGTGTTTCTCGTCATGTACTAAGCAGGAAGCAGTGAAGGACGTGGTGCATTCTCGCAGTACTAGGATCAGCTGACGGTAGCGTTTGATTACATCGGCAGCGAAGGAGACGCCTACGACCTCTGGGCGGTCGTCAGACGACTGCTTGACCAAGGAGCTTGGAAACGACTTCAGGGAGGCGCAAGTGTGGCAGGCAGATGTTACGCGAGAGATGGCATCATTCATGTCCAGAGTGAAAAACTGGCGTTGGAGTACCATTTGAAACTGATGGCGGGTTGGATGGTTGAGTTTAATATGAAGGGCGGTAAGAAGGCCGTCCAGGACGGACCTCGGGACAATGATTGCTTCCGCCACAGGAACGAACAGCTGAGTGTGCTTGACCACAAGAAGTCCGTCACTAGCAATAGAAACAGAACTGAGATAGCGCTTAACATCCCGAATATTAGTAAGCTTCTTGGACGGGCGTGTTCCCTGATTAAGGTGGGCGTGTACTGGACAGTCGTGTTGGATCTGTCGCCAGGCTGATCTGGTTGTGAATGAGAGACGAGACTTCCTGTTGAGGATATCATGAATAGAGATGTTCCGTACGACGGAATCCTCCATTTCGTG